CAGAGCTACAGCTAAATTTCCCAAGCCCCAGACACTTACTATATCCTCACTGCTTTGCCAGCCTGCTTGTTATAAGCTTGTGTTAGCACTTTTTGGTTATGGTTCTGTCAAATCCCAGGCCACTCGTGCCTCCCTTGCCCTTGCACGTGTTTTTATAAAGTATTATGATTCTTCCTAATCCTGAGCTTTGTTCCTTTAGAAAAACACTGCAACTTGATCCCCCTCAGTTAATGTCATGGGACTGAGTTTCGCTCTGACTTGGCTTTAAGCAACTGATGCTCAAAACATCTGGCCCATGTGGGTAGTAGCTGTGCTGGGGGAGGTGAACGCTACCAGTTATCAGAGCTAACCATGGTGCCACTCAGCCCCCCGCAGCTCCCACTGTTGATGTCCCATGCAGGTAACCATAGTTTCAGCCCCTAAATGGCTCTCCCACTCTCCCCCTTTGCTGCCCAGATAGGGAGAAAGCAGAGGAAATTGGAGAATTCCTCTCTAGCCAGGCTCAGGTCACGGTAAAGAGTAACAGACCCCACATGCAGTTCTGAGGGCAAGGTCTGATCAATGGCCATGCCACTTAAACAGGTTGAAAACACCTCTAATGGAAAGGCTTAAAGACCCTGCCTGTAAGCCCAAGTTCTCTTCCAGTTCTCTTCTTGCAAGATGGGAATGGGAAGAGAATTAATGGGGAATTCCTATGTGATCAATTAGCCAGACCCCCTTCCAGGCTCTTCTGGCAGTGGCTCGAATGACTGATGACAGAGGCCTGCCATATGCTGACTGGGTAAACAGTGCTGAAGGACTGACCACCACAGTCTGCCAGACAGGGGGACAGATAAGGAATGGGGGGAAGTAAGAGAGGGTAAGGGAGACCAACTGGAAGAAAAAGACAGATGGAAGGAAAGGACATACTGAGATAATAGTCAAAGACAAACAAATGAGGGTAATAAAGCCAGGAGCCACCACCACAAGGACTCCTATGTGGAGTGAAGGGGTGATGGGGTCAGGACTGCCTGAAAGATGAAAGACCTCTGGTCCCCTCCCATCCCTTTCCGCTCCTTCTGAAAACCATGGAGCACACGGACAATCTTCTTTCCTGCCACCAGAGCTCCTCAGGGTTCAAGGGGAACCCTCTCACTCAAAGAAAACTGAGTGAGGGACATGCCAAAGGTCTGCCTAGAAATCACAAGACATCAGCTGGCACTAGGTGGGAAAGCAAGGCAAGGTTGTACATGGGAGTCCCTTAGCAATGCTCACTGTCCTGTCTCCAGTACTCTTCTTTCAGCAGCAACATTCGGGAATATGGAGTTACACGTGCACCTTCCTACTTCCAAAACCAGAATCTCAGAAGTGAAAACTTAACATTTGGGAATGCAGGACTAGATGGGACCTCCTCGGTCAGTAAGTATGATCTCTTGCTATTGTAGGCACCACTTCAAATAATATTTTCCTTAAATGTACAGAGTGCCCTTTTAAAAAGCAATTAGGTTTTCAGCCATCATTATTCTAATCACTATTCCAATGATAAAGTATCTTTTTCTAATTTCCAGCCTAAATGTATTCACTTTATGCCCATTTGCTATTGTGCCAAATTGGCCTTTTGCTTAAAAAGTACTTTTCCTCCCCTATTACTTCTCCCACAAACAGAGACATCAGTCATATCCTCTCTCAGCTTTCACTTTGCTAGGCTAAACATGGCAAGCTGTTCTAGCTCCCTTTCTCAAGAAGAGATTCCTATCCCTTGGGTCAACCATAACAAGCCTTTTCTAGTCTGAGGTAATTTTGCTTGGGAATATGAGAACACACAACATTTTGGGGCCTCATGAGAGCTTAATACAATGGCATTAATATTCCCTCATGTTTTATGAAAAGACCTTCACTAGAACATTATAGGATATTTACCACCTTCCAAGCCACATTACATCTGCAGTCATCTGCAGCTGACTGCTGCACCTAATTCTTTTCCACTCGTTTCCTAATGACCAAAATATTTTTCATACAAGACTCAAATAATGGTCTTGGTAGTTCAGACAAATGACACCTATCAGATCTGTTTTGTTTTCCAGGAAATCAGTGATATTCTAAATGATTGTGTGATCAATCTTAGAGAAATTCTTCTCCAATTATTTCCCATTTTGCCTCTTCCTCTGAGAAATTCTTTCCCACAGGTCCTCCTATAAACTCTGCCAAAATCACACTGCCTGTGCTGCCAGATGCCAGCTCCTTCAGGGTACCAGGGAAGAAAGTGGACACTCCCTGTGACTTGAGAGCTTTACACTCACACAGAGAGCTTTGCTTCCACCTTGGTTGTGATAATTTCTATTTCTAGCCTTTCTCCTTTGCTCCCATGCTAATATACTTCTAAGAGCCAAGAGGAAAGGCTGCCTTGTACTGGCCAGATACCACCCTGACCAGACAACCCTGGAAACTGTAGCAGTGCCATCTCAAAGACACCCCAAGTCTCACCTCCATCCAGATCCTTTCACATCCATCTCCCTTCCCGTTCCCAGCATCTCCATTCCTCACTACCCCCCTCTTCATCCACTCAATCCATCCCAAGCCCCATTCTCTCTTGAGCCCTCCGTTCTTCCAACACTTTTCTGCCACTTGATTCCCATCTGTATCGTTCAACCTGATCCCAAACTCCCCTCCAACAGCAGCCCCATGCAACGTCCTACCCATCTCAGGTCCACTGGCCTCAAATTTCAGTAGTGCTGCTCTGCTCCTCTTCTTCTACCTGTCCAAAGAGAATAGCTGCCTCCTCATGCCTTCCTCACTCCCACAGGGTGTCAGCAACATCAGCCACTGCCTGCTGTGATAGACCTAACCTGCCCCTAGGGCACCTTGCCTGGCTTCCTCCAAAAAGCACAGTCCCAGGGGGACTGAAAAATCTACCCTACAAGAACTTATTTCCCTAGGCACAAGTGTTGAGGATGGAAAAAGGCATCTCCAGTGAGCAGCAGATATACGGTACCCCTCCCCATGAGCAATGCCCCTCATTCCAACTCAGAGCCCAGGTACGTACTTGCCTTGGGGACCAAAACTACTCTGTCTTTAGACTCAGCCCCATCCTCACTGACTAACAGTCTTCTTTCTTCCAATCTCCTCCAATTTGCAAATTTTAAAAACCTTTTGCTGCCCTTTTCAAGGTCTGACTCAGCGTGATTTTTTACTGTTCTCACTTCATCTTTACACTTCTTGACCTCTAAGACAGGGCTTTTCATTATTTATTTGCTATCAGTTCTTTTTTTCCGTTTGTAGTAAGCTCTCAGTCTATTCCCAACAGCTTCTCTGTGGTACTTATTCATTCATTGAGGTCTGGATATTCTTCCTACAAACTTTTTCCTCTTGCTTGGCATGCCGAACTGTAATGGCTTTAGCATCTTTGACTTGAAAAAGTTCCAGACCTCTTCCACATCAAGTTCCTCTGCTGAGTTTACTAACCAGCTTCCTTAGTTTATCAGAGTTTGTTCTTTGAAATCCACAGGCTTAATTCGGTCTGGTTTACACTTCCATTTAATTTAATCTAAAATTACTTGTGTTCATTTAATCTAAGGTTACTTTCTATGGCAATTTGTTCTACAGAATCTACAAAAACCAAGCTTGAAATAACATTGTCTTTTGCTGGCCCCTTTGGAAAGCCTTTTTCCAGGTCCTGTGTTAACTGGAGACAGAGAAGTCACCTTGAGAACTTGGCTCCAGGGTCCAAAGAAGCACGGGCACCTTGGCATTCCAAACACAATTTAAACAGCTTTCAGCAATGTAGTAAAGGCAGGGACATAACTGGTGTTAGCTCTGTCCTTGAAGTATGGCAACGCTGTCTCCATCTAAAGCCACATCATCCCCTGAAAATGACAGCTCAGTTTGATTCTTGCCCATATAACAAGAACAGCAAGACAAAGTAGTGTTTTACCCTTGCTGTAGAGCAAGTATATTCTCTAGAGCAAGTCGTCTATTGGAAGACTTGATCTTCCAGCATAGATGTTACTACGGTTCAACTGGCACCTCAAACTATTGGCCATGTTTTGTCTCCAGATCCCTCAAGGCAATAGGACTGGCTGTTAAGAACTCTCATAACATATTTAATCCCTGTTTTAGGCAGGGTATTTATTTGTAGGAATCTAAGTTCATGACTTCAGCCATAAAAGATATCCAAAGCAAGTAATGCAGAGAAGAATGTCACTTTCAGGCTCCTACAGCATGGAGGAACGCCCCTCCATTTCTAAGCAAGCACAGACCCTCTGCCCTTCCAAGACAAAAAACAAAACCAACAACAGCAAAACAAAACAACCCACCATACAAAACAAACTCCACAACCAACCCCAAAATCAAAACCCACCGAGTTCTACAGCTTTCAAATCCGCAATTTTCCACCTCCTGCAAATTTACTCCAATTTGATTTTGCAAAAGAACCATGGAATATTTGCAATGCTTCAACATGACACACTGATTTCACTGTCAAAAAATAGAGCAAATCTTTAGTGCCAAAACGAAGCCAAAATTACATGCAGAAAAGACAGACATACATGGGAAAGGGAAAGATAATTCAGTAACAATTAGAAGTAAGAAAGGGCAGAAAACTGATAAGGAAACTAAAGGATATTAGTTAAGAATGTGCAAAAGCACAAGGCTAATTTCACTTAATAAGATTTTTTAATATGCATTAGAAGTAAAATTAACCTTAGAAAAACTCGCTACTGGGAAAGAAAGATAAAAAATTTTAAACACTCTGGAAAAGGCGCAAAGTTCAAGGAAGTATTCATGTTCTACATTTGGAAAGAGGCAGGAGTACACACTTGTACCACGTATGAATGATGCTACATACACCTTCCAGGCTATTCACCACAGACAGAAGAAATGTGAAAAATACAAATGTGCATGCACAGAACGCATATAAAGGGGAAACCTCACCAGTGAGACCAATACTAGAACCCAGCATGTCATTTTGGTATCCACTTTCATAAAGGATATGGAAAAAATGGAAAGAGTACACTAAAGTGATGTGAAAATGATATGATGGCTGATGAGAACCTCTGAAAGTGAGAGTCCAGCTTGTCAAGAAAGAGTGGTGAATAAATTACAGTAGATAAACACTTCCATGCAGAGGAAATTCTGATTACTAAGGGGCTTTTGGACCTAGCTGTAAGTCAGAGAAAGAACCAATTGGAAGCTGACACCAGATAAATTCAAATGATAATGAGGTACAGTGTTGCAACAGGGTGATCAATGATGGTAGCACGCTACTAAGGGAAGTGATGGATTCTCCATCCCTAGGGAGTCTCCAGATCAAAACTGTGTATCTTCTCAGAAAATGTGTCACCTAGGTGAAACTTATTTTGCCCAATACCAAGATAACTGAGCAAGGCGTAAGCTTCAGAGATAGTTCAAGTAGCCTGGTTTTACATTTGCTTCTGGCCTTCTGTTCCCCAAAATCTGAATAATGGCAGTATAAGAGAATGCCACATGCCAGCAGATTCTTTTCACCATGAGCCAGTCACTTTAGCAGCTCTGGGAAACCAGTTTCTGAGACATAAATCTTGAAAGTGGGCTATGACAACACCTAGTTTATTTGGAAAGGGCTTACATGTCTGCACATGTGTGTCATACAGTATCTCGACAGACCCAAAACCTCCCAGGCTTTAGCTGGCAGCAGAAGCTTGCCATTAAAACTGGAATATAATATTACTGATATTTTCTGTAATAGTCACAAAAATGCACAAAGTGTGACCATACATCATCACTGGGGCATCACTGAACTATCTCTCATCAAACCTCCAAGTAATTTGCTCTCTAGCTCTCTCACACCTTCTGACTCTGTCTCTGATGGAGAGCAATGGGTCGGTGTTCGTCTTACCCTGCGACCAGCCTCATTGTTCTGCAAGTTCATCAGCATGCGAGCCTGCTCCTCCGACCCTCTCACGTAGTTCTTCTCCCTCTCCTTGGCATCCACAAACTCCTTGGCAAAACGATACCCGTACTCCACGTTGTCCCCGCAGCCGCCCCACAGCCAGTCTCGGGGCAAGTCCTTGGGGCGGGCGGTGCGGCTGCAGCCGCAGCTGGAGAGCTCTCCCTCGCGGCACGCCCGGCTGATGGCGTTCACCACCCCCGCCGCGCTGACAGCGTAGGTGAAAGCAGTCTCTCGGCTCCCTGGGGGGAAGATGTCAGAAGCAAATTAACCAGAGACAGATTTAACGAACAAAATAAACGGGCTCCAGGCACTAGGACGTGGTTTGCTTTGAGGAGGGGCACAGAATTCACTTAAACAAAGGAATGGCCCAACGCAAAAGCACCACCCTTTCTCTTCTGTGTTAGGAACTGTCCTAACACATGCTTGCATCCCACTTTTGTTTTGATTTCACAATAACCGCTCCAGTAGAATGACCGTCCAGAGCTGGCAGTTTCTGTGCAGTCAGGATCAAACCCAAATCTGATTCTCTGACACATACCAGGGAAGGGTCCGAGATTCCTGCAGATCCCTGGAGGAATGTTCATGGGGAATAGTATGTTCCTCATGAACCTGTAGGCGCTGCTCATCAAGTGTTATTATTTTTATTACACCTATGTTTGCCCATTTAAGAGCCCTGAAATCTCCAGGCCTTGTCCAAAAGAAATAACACCAGCATAGGCAGGAACTGCTCTGCCTCTTTCCCCTTCTATATCCTCTCATTTTAACCTGGAGGAAATTCTCAAGCAGAAACAGGATTATTCACTTGCTGAAGATACAGCTGCTGCCTTAGGCATTGAATTTACCAATAATAATTGAGAACAACTGATGAGCTTGAGTCTGTGCAAAAGGAGCTTTCTGGTTAAGCCAGGTATCACTCTGGAGTAGCTTTCATTTAAGTGGGACAAGCATTCAGGCCTCTCAGTTAATCAACCTTATTTTGGTTTACATGTCAGCTGAGAGTTGTTTTGAGATGAACTGGAGGAAACCCATTTTTACACTAAAGCATCAAGGCAGAGGCTCTCCCAATGCCTAGAGAACCACAGTGCAGGAACAAGTAAAACTTTCCCATGTATATAATAGTAAATGAACAGACTTTCCATTAGCAGGTTTTCTAGAGACTGCCCCACTTGGAGTGTATCCTCTGCAACAGCTTAGTCTGAGCCAAGCAGCTGGATCAGGTCTCCAGCTATGTATTCCTGGCAGTGATTCAGCCCAAATTTGACCGGGGCACCAACACCGCCAGAACAATTCATAAGGCCAAGTGTACTGCACCAGTGAGTGCTGTGGACCTGAAGGAGGAGGAGTAGAGGGGGATGAGGAGTAGAAGGCGGCAATCCACACCTGCACTCTCACCACACTGTAATGAACTGCTAAACTGACACCTTCAGAGTCATTGTGTGGGTCACCAAACTTTCAGGGAATGGAGAGAACAACGGTCAAAGCTCCACTGGAATAAGTAATCTGCTTGTGAAGAGCTTCTCATACCAAACCCCAGCAAGATGCTCTCAAGCAAATTTTAATGACTTCAGAGGGGAGATCCTCCAAGGACAGTTTGTCACCAGCCCATGAGACTCTCAGTGCCAGCTCACTCAGCAGGACTGAGATGATGCTTTTGGTAAACTCTTGTTCCAATTTGCATGTGCTGACAATCTGTAATTAATAGCAGCTTATCACCAGCTTAGTGGTAATGACCCAAGACAAAGGCAAGGCTGTGAATGGCATCCACCTTGCAGAACAACTTGTGATTTACTTTTTTCCCCTAAATGAGAGTTGTACACGAAGGGCTTCTGCTCTGGAGTACAGCACAAGGCTGACAAAATGCTACAGGACACATAATATAGATGGGAAGGTGCCTTATTAGCAGGTCATAAGGAGATGTCATTATGCCCCCCCCAACCTCTCTGGGCTGAGATGTAGAGGAGTGACTCCTAGCTAAGACTGGCCCACAAGGGAGTTATGGACACTTACAGCAACCAAAATCAAGCTTTTATTCATCTAGTTTGTTTTGCATATTACTGGTATTTTAAGGTAACACTCCAATGCATAGTTTTAACCCTGCCAGTCTGTGCCTGTATGGTAAGAGCCCTGTGGACACACCAACCATCCTGTTAAGTAGAGGACATGCTGCATCTATAGAGATTAAAATACACAGAAGGAAAGGACCTCCTGGTGTTACAGCTTGTGCAGCAGAACCTGCATGACTCCAGGTGCTTAGCACCCCTACAGCTTGATTGAGATCCCTGAAAGCACAGACTGGATTTACACTTTTACTAGCCATGTTTTAACCATCTCCACATTTCAGATGCTGCAGCACAACTCAGTGTGCAGTCCCTGGACCTGCAGGAGTTGTTCAGACGGCTGAGGATGGTGGTGGGAGAGGCTGAAGTAAGTCACAGTGTTTTGGGTTTCCTCCCCTCTCCTTCTTGCTTCCCACAAAGCAGAACAAACCAGTGTTCACTAGATGTAGGTTTGGAAGACTGCAGCTTGGATTGGAAGATGGGATCAGATGTGTGCATGAAACCCTGTGCTAATACAAAGCAAACCTGTAGCTGGCAATTGTGGGCTTACACATCCTAGCTTCCTCTGCTCTCCTGTCACACTGTCCAGCCTTGGAAGATTATTTGGACTTTCAGACATCATCTGAAACTTGACTCCAGTTCCACCCTTCTGTACTATCATCTCAAAGGAGAAGGGGTGCTATTCCCCAAAGCTGTGCAAAAGTGAAGAGGTGGTCAGGCAGTAACCCCCCTTCTGCCTTCTCCCACACCTCTCCCGAGGGGTGAGCTTGGAGTCATCTCGGGCTGCGTGCCCTGGGCAGGCTGGGGGCGATGTCAGGGGCTCTGGTCCCCGGGAGGCTCTGCCCGGTGGCGTGGAGCTCCACGGAGCTCTGCTGCCCTCCTGTGCCCGACGGCCACCCGCCACCGGCAGCAGGAAGAGGAGCCCGGTGCGGCTGCGGCAGCTTTCGAGGCAGCAGGGAGGATGCCTGGGTGAGCTGTACCCGGGCAAGGTGTCGGTCCCTGGGCCTGCTTTTCTGGAGCTGCACGGGAAGTGGTGGGAGAAGAACTGACCCAAACGGGGAGACTGACACAAAGATGATTAAAATGAGTCATTCTAACTTTTTTTATAAAAAAGGTTTCATTTCAACTGAGATTTTTTTAAAGCACTCCCCTAAAGTTTGCCAATCTCAAAGAAAAACAAGGAAAAAAAAATTCTTTGTTATCTTCTTTTATGACACCCCCCCCTTTTTTTTTTTTTTTTTTTTTTAGTATTTTGCATTTGAAAAGGCAGATGAGATACTATCTTTGGCTCCAGAAATGCCTGGGCTAACCTGGAAACCCCAGCCTTGCATTTAGGATTGCAATGAAGGGGATACAGTCTCTCCTCTCCCTCATAGAGGTAGAAGTAAGGAATGTATCTGTATCTAATGCATAAAGATAGATATATATACACACACACCCCCCATCTGAAAACTATATTGACAGGACAAGAATCAACTTCAGAAGGGTAATATTTGTACATCACCACATATTCATACGAATAAACCACATTTAAAAGGTAAGAGCAATTCTCATGAACACAACACAAACAGCAGGAAAAAAACAATGCTAAAAGCAGCCTACTTCAGTGCTACGGACGCCTCTGCAAAAGCTTTGTATCACTGGACTGCCTCACCTCTATGAAATGCACAAAATGAAGGTGTAATGATTAAACACAGAACAACCGGGTCTCCCGTTCCTGAGCTGAGCCAAGTTCTGCAAGGGGGAAAGGAAACTAATCTTCCAGGTTTCTTGAGTGAACACTCTCCTGAGGATCTCCCAGGCTTTGGACTTGGCCAGGGCTAGTTCTCCTCCCCTCTCACAATCTAGAGCAGCTCAAGAAATCCTATAACATATGCCATGCCAGCATCGGTGGGTGGGCAGACAGGGGTTGTTGGCACACTATACACCTTCTGGGTCCTTCTTATCTCTCTCCACCCCGCCTCTCCACAACACCCTGGCATGCCTCTGCACTCTTGCAGATATTCTGGTCTCCAGACTTTTCTCATACCATTGGCACAGAATACAAAAAAAGAGCTGCAGTCCAGAACTGGGGCTCAGAGGTTGGAAAGAGGAGACAGGCACACAGTACAAACCCAGGGAAGAATGACCTTAGAGACACAACCTGAGAGATTGGAAGGCTTTTCTTCCCCAGCGTGGAGAACAGATTTGCTGAAATGATGAGCAATGCTTCATTATGAAGCAGGAAAAACATAAAAGCAGAAGGTGGAACTAAGAGAAAAGAGAAGGCCCCCTTGCACAGGCCCTTATCACAGAAGTAGACAACAGCAATGAATCATCACAGACTCTGTAATACCCCAGACCACCTTTGGTGACATTTTTCTTTCTCCTCTTCTGTGCTGGAGTCTAAATATCTGAACATGCTCTAACTGACCAGAGAATCTGAAGCAGATGAGTTCAAACCTCTCTGTTAAGATAGGTTTTTAAAAAGCAGGCAGTCACTTCACAGACACTACCATCAGCAGATTGCAACTAGAGATACAACAGTTCTCCTAACAAACAAATGAACACACTAACCAAACAGCAGCATTACTATTGGACATACCCGCATCACCTCTTCCCTCATCAAAACTCAAATCTACTCCAAATCTAAACTAGCAGGATCAAAATCGTTTTAGAGAGGAAGAATCTTCCCTCTTTCACTATTCACCCTAATCCCTTCTTCCTGTACACCCTTTGATCCTTCCCGACAGCTTTTTGTCCTTCAGCTCTGATCTTTACTTTCTCTTAGTTCACCCTTACTTCTTTTCTCCAGGTGTGGACTCACTCACTGGACAAAATCAGAGCTACGCAAAGATACTGAAGAAGAGGAGATCTGCTCCAGAAGAGGAGATTCCAATTTTCCTGTGTCCTTGTGGAGTCACTAGGATCTCTCTGGGGATCTGAAATTTACCCTATGCGTTGGAGTAACTTACATGTGAGGAAGGAACACCAGAAGGAAGAGATGGAAGCGTACTTTCTGTCCTTTCCTTTTGCTGTCTGAAATTTCAGTTTTCTTACCCCGAAGCACAAGTTTTAAGAATCTGGGATTGTATGCAGCTTCATCTGGCCACCCCCCTTGCTATCAGAAAGCAAGAGATCAAGGATGCAGATGCTTTGAATGTGCAAGGAGATAAAAGTATGTATCAGCAAGCTGCATTTCCCAGGGGAGCACCCCAGAGAAGCTGGGATTTGTTGGGGTGTGAACTGGGCAAAAAGGGAGGAGTCAGAAGGGCTCTGGTAGTCTGAATCAGGGATTCTGAAAGGTTGAGTAACACATGCAAAAAAAGTCCCTAAAATTCTCCAACACATAAAAACTTCAGGATAAAATGGAAGGGATCACAGGAGTTTGCTACCCCAGTGCCCTATCACCTTGACACCCCAGAGGTATTAAAGATGCATCTCTTGGTGTCCTGCTGCCTACGCAGTTTGAGTGAACCTGCTGCCTACCCAGTTTGAGTGAAATCAAAAAGGTGCAAGCAATGCTGGGAGAAGCTGGGGGTAGAGGAGCAGGACACCTTTTTCCATCCCTTGCTAAGTGTTTCCCCTGACCTTACACCCAAGACATAGGGCTGGTCCTGGACTCCAGTGAAATGAGGCTTTGTGGGTGGGAAACAAAACTTGGGGTTGGAAAGAGAGAGTGTGTGTGACTATGTGTGTGTCTGTGTGTGTGTGTAAGCAAGCGGCTGTTTTAACACCTTTTCTTTATTGTCCTGGCTGTCGGACACATCAAACCAAGCCCGGATTTCTCAGTCTCTTGCCATTAGATGACTGCATTTCAAAAGGAGCTGGGACAATGTGGCTAGGTCACACCTCAATTCAAGTGCAGCAATGGCCTGTCAATGTGCCTCTTACGGTCAGCAGGGCAGGAATTATAAAAATCTCCTCGGTTTACACAGAAAGTGGCAGAACGAGCAGGGGAGTAGATCCCGTGCCAGAGGAGTCCATATTTCCCACACGGGCTGCATTCCCTCTCCGAGGGCACTCCAGGTGCTGGGCATTGTTCCTGGTTACAGCTTCTTCCCTCCCCACCTTTAAATAAACACACAAAACAAAAGTAGCCCCCGCTCTT